TCCTTTGAAATATTATCTCAAAGACTTGTGTAGCCCTTAAAACTCTAGAAGTCTTTACTTGAACTCCCATTTTCACTGATGAATCAGATCTTCAGAGCAAGTCTCATGACTATACCTCCCTCTATGGGTTCCAGACATATCCTTGAGGGATTGGGAAATTCTATCTTTAATACTATCAGCTTGAGACCCCATTCTGGTGTGTGCTGCAAGTATCAAGCACTAATGATTAGCACCTTACATTCATTTAGCCAACTAATGTCAATTAGTTTTTTCAAAGAGATATTTACTAGGTGGCAGCTAGGTGGTACAGTGGATGGAGCACCAGCCTTGAAGTCAGGAGGACCTGAGTTCTAATCTGGCCTCAGACCAAACACTTAACACTTACTGTGTGACCCTGGGTGAGTCACTTAACCCCAATTGCCTAAAAAAAAAAAGATATTTACTGAAAAGATATATAAACAGAGATATAAACCATTCCCCCAAAACTAAGGATACTCTCCCCTATGCCACCCCAGCTCATGGAGATAGTGGTCTCAGACTTAAGGTTTGCCATAAAAAATTCATTCTCCGCCCTCACTACCCAGTCCACTTCTAAATTCAAACGAGCTACTGAATGAACCCTTGTCTCACCTACTGCTAAACTTGGTGCTGTTAGGCTGAATCCCAAAGGTTGTTCCTTGGGGACTTTACTTTTGCTCTGGCATAGACTCTAGCTCCCAGACCTCTGAGGATACATCATCCCGATCTTTTGAAGTTCACAGTGTCAGAGCTGTTTCCACTACTCTTTTATCTACGGTAGTAGAGATCAGTCACAGTAAAAACCAACAACAACAACAAAAAAGCTTGAGTAGAGCTATAAGTTATTGGGGCATATTATTGTGACCCAGTGGGGAAATAAAGGCCTGAGGTGTCTCTGTCTCCACTGATGACTTTCAACTGTTCTTGACTCTTCAGGGATTCACACCCAGACTGGAATGAGGATGAAATCTCACTGTGGTCATCTAATAGGGCCTGTTGAATACACACCCACTTCCAATACACACCCACTTCCAATTCACAGCCAATCAAAAAGGCTGCTCTTAACCACAGGGTAAACAGACCAGAACCAGTTACAGAATGTCTGGACATTCTATTACAAATTGTCATACTTTTCCATAAGCAGGCTTGCAGCCTCTTCCATGGGAGGATAACATCAGTTGAGTTTGCAGGGTCTGCTCACCAACCACTCTTTTTACTCAGAAAGTTAGCTTCCTATCTCAGAAGGAAACCTGGTCCTTACAGAGCTTCTCAGCTTATCCTAAGGGGACTGAGGTCAATTGATAGTCAACCTCTCAACTTCAGGTGAGAAACCAAAGTAATTTAGCTTGTTGCCTACAAACCAGCTAGGGAAGAGGCTGTCTTACTTTGCTCTTTCTCTATTAAACTAAGCTCCCCTCCCCCTATTCTGTAGGTCTACACTCACAGAGTGGGTTTAATGCTGTCAAATTTTTTGGGCCCCTGCAATAACATAGGTACTCACGTTTTTCTCCAGGGATCCCTGAAATTCAAAGAACATTCTACTAGAAGTCCAGAAAAAGAAAATTCCCAGGTGCTCCTTCCCACACAGGGAACACCAAGATCTTCTGAGTTACATCCCTCACTAAGACAATCAAGTTAACTTCAAAAGAAAACTCAGGAAAGCCCTCCTATAGGGCTCCCCCTAAAAATGATTAAGTATTTAGGGTTAATTACTCAGAGTTTCTAGGCCATCAAGCAAACTTTATTTTGAAGTAAACCTTATCTGCTTAAAGGCATTAGAAAAATAAGAACATTTACCAACTGGGCTGATAGACTTACAAGATTATAATAATATCATAAAGGTGATCACATTTTAGCAATCTTATAACCTGATCTGGATTGCTAAGTAATTTAACAATAGCAGTAACAAAGATTGGAAAAGTAATTTCAGACTTTCAGAAATATATTCTATGGAAATCCATGAATTACATCTATACTAGTATACTAACACTTCACTTCTCCCTAGGCTCACTAAAGATGACCAGCTGTCACCAAAGGAGAAATAGAGAAAGGCTTAGAAAGAGTAGTCAGTGTGAAATAGTAGAAAGACAATTGAATTTGAAGTCAGAGTACATGGGTTCAAATCCTCTCTTATTTACTACCTGTGTGACTTTGAGCAAGTCCCCTCCCATCACCTGGAAAGTGCTAGGTTGGGCAAGATGGTATAGAAAGTCATATTTTTACCTCTTAAATTCTATGATCCTGTTTTAGAATTTTTCCACTATAACAGTGTGTTCACATATTTGGCATGAGAGATGTATATGTGCAATATCCAGTATTAAATGTGATGAAAACTAAGTCAGGGTATCCATTCACTTATATGCTAGATATTGTGCTAGGTGCTGGGGATTAACAGACAAAAAAATGTCTCCTTAAGGAGCTTACATTCTACTAGAGGAAGGTAACATGAATGCAAAGAAGTATATTGAGGGGCAGCTAGGTGACCCTGAAGTCAGGAGGACCTGAGTTCAAATCCAGCCCCAGACCAAACACTTGACATTTACTAGCTGTGTGACCCTGGGCAAGTTACTTAACCCTAATTGACTAAAAAAAGAAAGAAAGAAAGAAAGAAAGAAGTATATTGAAAAGATATACAGATTAAATACAAAGTATTGCTGGTGAGGGGAGAACACTAGTAACTGGGGAGATAAGGGAAGCCCTCCAGTAGTAGGTGGTATTCAATCTCTGCTTTGAAGGAAGCTAGGGATTCAGGAGGCAACTAGGCAGCTCAGTGGATAGAGTGCCGGGCTTGGAGTCAGAAAGACCTGAGTTCAAATACAGCCTCAAACACTTAGGAGCTGGGTGACCCTGGGTAAGTCACTTAACCCTGTTTGCTTTAGTTTCCTCATCTGTAAAATGAACTGGAGAAGGAAATGGCAAATCATGCCAGTATCATGGCCAAGAAAACCCCAAATGCGATCATGAAGAGTCAGAAGTGATTGAACAAGAAAGGGATTCTTTGATATAGAGGTGAGAAGGGAGCCCATTTCAAACATGGAGAGAGCTTTTGCAAAGGCACAGAAATGGGAGATAGCCTTTCATGTATAGCGTCAGTTTGGCTGGAGTACATGAGGAGTACATGAGGAGAAGTGATAAGAAGTCAGTCACAAAAGACAGGCTGAAATCAGACTGAGAAAGGACTTTAAATGCCAAAGAGAGGGATTTGCTCTTTATCCTAGAAACATATGGAGCCACTGAAGCTTCTTGAGCAAGGAAGTGACATGGTCAGACCTGCACTTTAGGAATATCAATCATGCAATGGTGTGGAGAATGGATTAGAGAGGTATGCAATCCAATAATAGCTGTATCAGCAATTATTGAACATTTTAACACTAGAGGTCATCTAAGTAAATGCATGTACATTTTTGCAGATGATATAATTTAGAGAAATAACACTTATGCAGGTTTGTATAGCACTTTAAGATAGTAAAAGCACTTTCCTCATAACAATCCAGTTAGGTTAAGTGTCATTGACCTCATTTTACATTGGAGGAAACTGAGACTCCTAAAAGTTGTCTAATGTCAGAACTATTTCTAGGTTGGAGCTGGAGCCCAAATCCAGGTCTTCCAACTCCAAAAAGAACAGCAATTTTTTTCCCATACGCTGCTCCTTTCCACATACTACAATGACTAATTATTAATTATGTAAGCAATCCCTGAATGTTTCACAATAGAAAATCTATTCCAAGTCTAATAAAAATGTTTCCATGCTTAGGACACCACAGTATTTCCTATGTTACTGTGTTACTATGTTACAGCACTGTGCTCTTACAATGATCCATCAGAAATTGGCATCCTTTTTTACATGCTATTGCAGAATTATGAAGGAAAGCTGTAAAGCTGGAATTCTGTGACATCTTACCAGACTGTCAAAATATTAACAATATCTTTAATCACCACCACTACAGGTTTTTTCCCTGAGGGCTTATTAGAATACCAATAATAAGGGAAAGAAGAGGTTACCAGGGGCAGGGAACCTGCGGCCTCAAGGCCACATGTGGCCCTCTAGGTCCTCAAGTGCTGCCTTTTGACTGAATTCAAACTTCACAGAACAAATCCCCAGTAAAACAAGGCCACATGTGGCCTCGAGGCCACAGATTCCCCAGCCCGGAGTTAGCCCATCATGGAAGAGATACACAATAGATAAAATTACAAACTAGGATGAGAAACTTTGCCTATTCCATGTTTTTTTTTTGTTTGTTTTGTTTTTGTTTTTTGTTTTTTGTTTTGCTTTGTTTTGGTTGTTTCAAGGCTTACAAGTAAATGATATCAATTACATCATAAAGAAAGTGTTTCAATTCTTACATTTTTCAAGCCATATGTATTTCTCCCTCTCCTCCCCACCCATTTTCTCCATAAGCAACTTGATACCACATACCCAAAAACAAAACAAAACTAATTAATTAAGCTAGCATGAGAAGGAAAAGGAAGAGAAATCACAAACCATACCGGAAACACATCTTGAGAACTGAGAAACCCTGAACACCCGAATGAAAAGCCCTCCAGGGTGAAAAAATTAACTGACCCAAAATAAAGCTACTCTAGCTGTCAGCGTTTCTAGCCTTCAATGCAGTGGGGGAAAGGGTCTCTCTGGTTGTTTCCACTTTTCTTTAAAAAAAAAAATAATAATATTAGAGTGGAAGAAACCATTAAGCCCCAGAAGCTGTCAATTATCTCTGAGCCACACTCACTCACCAGGAGGTATCATGCTTAAATTTTGCATAGTACTTATTCCTTGCTATATATGTCATACAGGCTTCAGTCCCTTGGTCCGCTCCCACCCCACCCCCATTCCTCATCTCTCACTGCATGTGTGTGTGTGTGTGTGTGTGTGTGTGTGTTTCCATGTGTCTCTCTCTTTCCCTCTCTCTCTCCAACAGGAACAGGGGGTGAGTGTCCTGCTCTGGTTCCTGCCCTGACTTATGCTGGTTCGTTTGGGTTTTTTTTTTTAAATTTTGTTTTGTTTTTTAACTACCTCCTTCCTCTGGCTCTCTCTTCCTCTCTTTGCTTTGTTCCTCGCCTACTGGTAAGTTCAACAAACACTTTTTCAAGAGACCTTAAAAGTTGTGAGGTTGGGGTTGGGGGGGAGGTGTGCTTTGCCCAAACAGCTCAACTTGGAGATTGACAATGAACTGCTGAAACCCTTTTCATTGTTTCATTTGTGCTTAATAATATGCTCCTCAATAAGGCACAAGGGTCTTTTAATCTTCTGCCAGAATTGGCAGTAAAAAGTTTTCAGTCTGAAGAATGAAAAAAAAATAGTCAAGATAATAGAGTTTATACAAGAGAAAGTTTTGTAATACTCCTTTTTTTTTCCACCAGCAATTAATCAGAAGATCAATATTTGCTAAGAAAGGGACAATTAAAAGAAACACAGAAATTTTCCTAAACCAGGCTTCTCCTGCCGTTGTCAGGCTACTTTTAGGAAATGAGGGTCCCTGAGTGTTCAGTGACTCATTATTCCTATTTAAAAGCAAATATAATGTGAAAATCCAGAGGGCTTACAATAGATTTACTGTATGGAATTAGAACAATCTTTACACCTGAAAAGTACAGGGTGAATTCACATACAAGTTCCATTGGCCCAAACCCAGACCCTGTGTGCACAGGCTACTATTTATATTTATTATTTGTAGAATCTGAGTAAATGTGGGTCTGATTTCAACCAAGGAGGACCTCTTTAAAGTACACAGATATGTATATGAGTATTTACCTAATCATTTTTAATGTACATATTCCAACTTGTTAATTCTTCCCATTTGGAATTTAATTTTTTAAAAATAATGTTCTCCTTCCAAGGTTTTCAAGGATGAAGTGTTAACTAAATACCAAACCTCCTTTTAGAAGAGCTTAAAATAACTTCTGGCTGGACAGAGGGTGCCATGTGTCTTTCTGCTTGGTGGTGTGGGGAGAGGCAGAAGCTATATATAGACAGACATGTGTACCTCATGGGGGTTAAATTAAAAATGCCTGTGATTAAGAAGGTGAAGAGGTGCTTTATAAAATTGATTAAGAGAAATAGTATAAAGAAAGGTGAATTTACTTTTTGTCAGTATTTAGCTAATGCTGACAGGTTGCATTGTTAAACTCTGCCTTGGAGGGAAGAGGAGAGAGGGACCTGTCTACATTGAAGAAAATTTTTTGGTTTTTTTGTTAAAATCTGGGCATTAAGTGAGAGTGAGGGTGAGAGAAAGGGTAAGATATCTTGCTCATATAGAACCTATACTTACATTATTCCACTCAACATACTATCATTAGCAAAAACACTAAGAGCCTAAAATGGGGCCTCTTTTTGTAAGAGGGTAACCAACTTTATTGTTAAAAATAAATGGATCACTAGGTACTGACAGAACTGATGTCAACAGGAGCCTAAATGCTGGCTTAGGTTAAAGTTATTACAATTTAATGAACTATATGTAACAGGTATCAGATCTATTTATTTAATTTGCAGTACTTGACAGGACACAAGCTGAGAAATATACACTCCAAGGCTTACCAGGACTGATCTTTGCCCAATGATTCAAATAATAATAAGAGCCAATATTTATATAAAAGTTCATGAGTTATAAAGTTCTTTTACATCATTTGATCCCCATGGCAACTTTATAAGATCAGTATTTATTATTATTAATAATTACCATTATTATTATTGTAAAGATTATTATAAGTTATTATTAATCCCTTTTTGCAGGTTCAGAAACTGAGACTCAGAGAGGTTAAATGACTTTCCTGTGTTCATACAGTTAGTAAATATCAGAGGCAAAAAGCCAGGACTATTCTGTCAGGAATAGAACTTGAGTCACTTCTGACTGCAAATTCAGAGTTTTTCCCTTTAAACCACTGTGCTCTCAGGTTTCTAGCTTCTGGATAGAATGTAAAATAACAAATATCTTTGTCTCTAAAAATCGACTTAAATTGTATTCCAACTTGTTTCCAAAAGAGCATGATGGGTAATTCTCCTTGTTCTTCGTAGTAAAGCAAGTTCTTTAAAACAATATTTAATGCAGCTATTAGTATCATAGAATCCATCTATGTCATGCTCAAAAATTCAAACGGATGGGTGATCTCATCAATCTGAAAGTTCACTCCAGCAATATGGATCTCGATCCAACCATGCCTTCCCAAGCCATGTGTGATTCTTACCTATATTTTCCCAAAAGTTCACCACAGGGGATCCATCCAATGCTCTGCAGGCCTTCCTCACTTCCTCCCAACATTTCATGGTACCCATGGAATGATTTGGATGTCCACTTGTCATATCTAGATCTTGTCAAGTGACCAACCCATCTCTCTGCCTATCATAAAAGTCCTTCGTCACTTCCTTCACTCCTATTCTTTTTCAGAGTTTCCTATTGGTTATATGTTGTAGCGTGCTCATAGTAAACATGTGTTTCACCATTGCTCTCTATGCAAGTCACATCTTTAGCTCTTCGTAGGTAATGGTGTTCCATGTCTTACTGCTATAGCCAGAAAAATGTTAGTATTGAAAAAAAATGATGCTTTATTTTCATGGGAGGCTTGAAGTCAGTAAAAGAGCTCTGTAGTTTCCAAAAGCAATTCAGCTTTCTCTCCTCCTCCACTTTGACATTCTGGACCCAGCTTATCCATTCACATTCTCTATCCCAGATATAAATATATACATATATATGTGTATATATGTATATATATAAAACATGTATGTATTTATGTAGGTATGTGTATATATATACATGTGCATATATTTATGTATAAATCCCATATATATGTGTGTGTATATATATATAATATATATATATACGCACACAAATAGATACAGATGTACACACACACACACACACTGTCGGATAAGCTCTTTCAAATGCATGTTGAAATCTGTGCAATAAACTTTCTTCATTCACGTGTCCTTTCCTGCACTGAGGAATAGGCCAAACTCTTTTAAGCAATTACAGATTTTTTCCAGGAGTCTCTGCAGTGTTATGGGACATGATAATCATCACAATGTCATCTGCAAAAAGGAGTGTCTGGAAGACCACATCATCCACAGGGAATCTCTTTCCCCAGAGCTCTGTGCTCAGTCTCTGCCATCACAGGGGTGACTACCCTTGGAGAGCACATAGCTTCTTGTTTTATGCCTCAATTGATGTTTATTATTATTGTAGATATGTTCTCCTATACAATATTTCTTATAATAACCTGCTAGTTCTCTGTCTCATTAAGAATGCCCTTGCATATGATTCTCACAAAGTTTTTATGTAGATGGGGAAGTAACCACATAGGGCAGCAGCTGTTGATGTCCTCTTGCTCACTTTGGTGAGGGGTAGTGCACGGAGAACTTTGGAGATTTTTTCCCCTTACCTTTGGTACTGTCTCCTCCCTCAGATACTTTGTGATTCAATCATATTCCCACAACACAGATCTTCTCCTTGTATGTTTGGTCTAACCTACCTGCTTTTTCTGTCTTTGTTCTCTTTAATGCCACTTCTGTTTCATTTATAAGCACATGCAGGGCCATGACATTACAGTCCAGATGCAGTGGTTCTATTGTCTTTGGTGATGAAAAAAGTTTTATACACAGTATACAAATCCTTGCAGATCTTTTCCATTTTTAAAAAATGTTTGTTGTCCTCCATCCAATTTCCTCTCTTGGGAGGATTTTGTTTAATTGTGTCTCCCATGAAGTTTCTTTAAACTAGTTTTACCCTCCACTGCTTCTTTCTGCATTATGAGATGATGCTGTTCATCATCTTATGTTATCCTGTTATGTAAGATCTTACAAATAAATTTGTATTCTAAAAAGGTGTTACTTATGGCTGCCATTGATCTCCACTTTGTAATTAAGTCAAGTGTTTCTGCCTAAGATCCTTTTTAGGCACTTTTGACCTTCTTATTATAGCAATTGATTTATATTGGTTAAACTTTTGTGTGAAATCATTGTAATCTGTCCATATCCTTTCAACCAATATCCTTTCAAACATTTATGAAGTGCCTACTATGTGTGAGGTACTATGCTAAGTGCTGGAGATTTAAAAAGAGGCAAAAGATGGTCCTTGAACTCAAGGACCTTACAATCTAATTTCTTCCAATCATACTCCATATTCATGATCAATATCTTGATTAAATGGGTTGAGGTTTTTGTTGTTTTAATTGTATACAACATCTTTTTTCTTATTTTTATTCTTTCTTCTGCCTTTGTATTAATTTTAATCTCTGTTTTAACAAATAAGTGTTCTGACCATATACAGTCAGTTTCTTAAATAATAAATCCCATAGCCAAGCACAATGTGTGTTCCAATGGGCTCTGCTGCTTGGGAGGGTGAGACTGGTGTATTGCTTGAGTTCAAGTGTTTTAAGCTACTATAGAGCTAAAGTCAGTCAAGTTTCCTCATTAGGTCTGGCAACAATATGGTAAGCCCCAAGGAACAGAGGGTCACCACACTTCCAAGGAAGAACAAAAGGACCCAGACCACAAAAAAATAACAGATTAAAGCTTCTATGCCTGTGAATAGCTGCTACATTTTCAGTCTGAGAGAGGGATACTCAGTCTTTAAAAAAAAATTAATTCTATATCAATGATGAGTCATTTCTTTCTTTTACAATATAGCAAATTTCATTTTTGTGATGTTATTCAGGATTCGCCACGTCTAGGACATTGCAAAAAAAATTTTAAAGAAAGTATTCATGATAATAGGTCTAAGGCTTCTTTGTAGCATAAAACTTTCTGGCTTCTCATATTTATTCCTGCTACATATCTTGTAATATGTTTCTCATTCTCCTCACCTATCCTCACCTTTGCACTGAGGTCATTAAGCATTAAAGTTTGTTTATTTGTTTGTTTGACTGGACCTGTGATTATATTAGCGTTGAGAACTCCCAAGAAGTAAACTCCTATCAATGCAGATCAGTACTCCCTTGCAACTTATAGTCTTAGAGGGTTACCTGTAGCATTAAGAGTGTAAGTGACTTGCCCAGAATCACAGAACTAGGATATATCAAAGGTAAATATTGTGATCTCTGAGTCCAGCTATCTATATACTACGTCACACTTCC